AATTTATCATTGGCTGCCGATCTTGATCAAAATTTGTAAAAAAATACGTAAAATAAATATGCAAATCTATATATTGTGAAAGATGGTAAAAGTTTCTACCGAATATGACCCACTACGATACATTTTCGCGCGCAATGCACAGCTACATCATAACAGTTTGAAACTGGACTGTGCGATTTCCATGAATCTCGTGGCAGTGACACGTGACTAAAAGTAAAAGTAAAGTAGAACGCGGATATGATGTAGACGAGTGGTATTCAATTTACTGATAAATGTATCGCGGGCATTCACCGGATACCCACAATACACTGCGACAGCATGGGACTCCGTGTCTTCCGGAGTGAAGTTTAAAGTAGTTCATTTGTGAATAAAACTGCACTACACTTTTTCACACACAAAATCTGACCGGTATATACATAGTATAATGCAAATTTAAAGTCTGGTACAAGTAAGTGTTTCCATGACGACACGAACTATGGCGGCCATTTTAAATAAGAAAATTGCATAAACTAGGCCGGTAGTTTGAAATTTACATTAATTGTTCATGTAGATGTTCATGAATTACCCTGTAGTCAAACAAACTTTGAAATTCGTGTTTCGTCAATAGGTGATTTTCCGTACAATTGCGAGATCTCGCGAGATGCATGAAAGACGCGCGACGAACGTCTGCCGCAAAAATCGAACGATTTGATTTTGAACTGGAATTTCCTTATTTCGTAGCTCACACCGACCGGCCGATCTTCGACAGAGGAATATTGCTTCCGAATACCCTTACTTAATCGAAATTGCCTATCATCAAATGTATACAGCACATTATTAAGCATGGAAATGTCCCCAAAATACTTTCGCGTTTGTCGAATCCCACGCGATGTTTGACGCGACTACGACGCTATGACCTTTGTTTGTCCTGTTTTTACGTTCGATTTCACGCATAACGCGTGATTCTCGCAGTGTACGGAAAATGGTCTATATATTCGTGTCCGATGTCATTGACTGGCAGAAGAAGAAAAAATAGTTAAGACAGGTGTGTTAGAAAGATGTCAGGCACTTTTCAAGGTCATTTGTAAGTTGTAACATTTTGAGTTGAGTAACGCCGATGAAAATTCATTTTATTAAAATGACGTGAATTTCTTCGAACAACCATTGATAAAAAAAAGTTAATAATCTGTCACGTTGTTTCCGTAAATCGTGTAGAATATTACCTTAGTGGACAGTGCGTACGTGAGTAAGCCCAGTAGAGGTATCCATTTCAAAGGATTTAAACTAAGTGGCGACCGAATGTAGTTCTTTACTGTCGGACACTGTGGGGGTAATAACGGTTAATTCATCTATTTCTAATTCATAGACTATGTCCGCTCTCAAAGAAAACACGTCTCGCCCTTATTAAAGAATAAAAGGCGGACACATAAACGTTGGCGAATCAAATTAGAAGGCTTCCATTGAGAACGACAGGGGGTATGGAACGTTTTACACTGATCGTACGACGCAACCAAGCGCCGAGAATGGCCGTAAAGGCGTTTTTATAATAACCTTATTAAAGTCACTATAGATGTCTGAATTAACACGTGATGTCGGGTATAATTGCTACCACTGACAAAGTACCGACACCATCAAGACAGCGTCCCCGACAATCGCGGAAGGCCACTTCTGGTCAACGAAACGTAAATTAAATTATACTTGCATGCATGCGATGGCTAGGTGTACTGTCGATTTTACATTACGTTTGTCACTTGCACGTTTGCATGAACGTATCTGCATTTGTGTGTTTAAATGACAATACATTACCGCGTCGATAATTGTAAACAAAACACCAGACTTATTTAATTATCAGATGTCACTCGTTTTATTCCCACGTGGCGAAAAAGCGTCACTTGTATTACATTTTTTTTATTTTCGTTTTTATCAATGTATTTATGCGGTTTTAATATAAATACGTCTGAGGGGTGTGTCCCGATGGCGAGCTTATATGAATTCCCGTCTAGTCGCTCGTCGGCGAGTTCTGTGATGCAAGCAAAGCGACAATGCGTGCCGGTGAACTCCACTCATTGACGGCGCCTCTCGCGAAGACGCCATTTTGAACTCCAAGATGAAGTAGAGCCCGGGTGATTAAAGTTGCACTCCGTGATCATTCATGTAGCTTTATTGGGGTCTTGGAACTATCATGAGACACATTTGGCGATAGCAATATGCGTAAATTGAGGGAATATTTAAAGATTCGCCCGAATTCGCCGCTGTATAGAATTACTGCCGGCACAGAAGCAAATCTTCGCGAATCCATGCGTATCAAAGCACTATTCCAAAGCGTTAGTAACTGATTTCCAGCATATAATCTAAATGATCGCCAATATTTGGTCGCGTTGAAAATGGAACGTTTAAGTCTGGCAATTCAAATTCTTCACCACTGAGCGTGTTACTACACATATACGCAATGCATTATGGGAGAGAACTTCCGATTTTGCGTTACTTGCATGTTACTGCGTATATATGCAATGCATTATGGGAGATGAACTTTCCATTGTATATAATGGAAAATATTATCATACTTGATGCAATATTAGGATTCATATCAATAATAATAAATAGCGAAGGCGGTGATCATGTTACACTTAAACAGTGTATTTTATGCGCGTGCTGTGTAACGTCACTGCGGGTCCAATAGTCGAACAGAACGCAGCGCGACGACCGCCGCCATTTAACGCATAGAAAGGAAATGGGATAGAGGGCCCAGGCGGTACTTGAAACTTTTGAATTAACGTGAAACTGTGGAAATGCAAACCTCGGGTGTATATTTCAGTATCTGATATAAAAGGGTTGCACTTATATGTCGGATTAGGTCTAAATGGGTTGGGCGCTGAATAATCGCTTCTGAAATAGCTGTAGTTTGAAATGCTATACTTTAATATTGTTTTTTACATTCCTCACACATCCTTACAAACTCGGATTTTCAAGAGCCCAATCAAATACACAACTTAACTGATTTTAAAAAACAAGGTATTTAGATATAAAATATTGAGTTCGCACTGGTCTACATGGGTTGGAAGAGGTTGCATATTGGGGTGGTACATTCCATTTTGTCCGAACCACTCAATGGTGTTGGTCACGTACTGTTTATTCCCTTGGGTTCCAAAGTTAACTGTTGCCATAGAAACCTGAATGATTGTTACCTGTAGAAATTTGGAAATTAAGTTCATTTGGTCCAAAATAAACAAAGAAATTGTAGTTAACACGGGGAAGCCGTCACCTATCCATGTGACAGACGGCCATGGCGTGTCGTTGTTTACAAACAAACGTTTACTGATAAGCCTTTGCGTTTTAGCGTGCGTTGTTATCGTCGCTTGGGACTCAATTCCCTCGCGTGCGCAGGTGACGACCCCCTCCGATTTAAATGAACGAAAAATAAAAAAAAGATAAATGTTGCCCCAGAATTATCGCGGAAAACATTGTCGCATTCAAACTGTTAATATATTGACAAAAAAACATTTGAATACTAATGAATTCACTTCACCACAAGAATTGTATTTTCATAGCGCAAACTGCCGTGTTTGTGACAGGCAACTACTTACGCCCTTGACATACATTTTGAATGAAATTGCACGTGAGTGTCAACTCATCGAGTTTTATCAGCTTTTTTTCCTTTTGATGTGAATGTACATGAATGCAACCTCAAAAGCGTGAAACGGTGTGTCAATGTCACGTGACAGTTTGTCTGAGTATATCATCAAATGCGCCATCTTGTTCGTAACCAGTCGTGATAAAATCACTTATATATACCTCCATGTGTACGGTGAACCAACTTCGAAGCAGTCTGCGTAAATTGGGAATATATACATTATGTCAGCAAATCAGACAACACAATTTAACCTTCAAACACTTGTTTTGACCTTTCTAAAAAGAACAATTAAACGAGTAATTGGTGATAATGTTGATAACTATCTTTCAACGGGTTTACATTGAACGAAAGGAAAGCCTTGAAGTCCATGGTTATAACGGAATGTTGACTTTTGTAATCAATTTGTCGTTAAGAGTATGTACATATTGAAAACAAATACCTTCCGGGGATCACAGCGGAAAGTTAAAACAAATCGCTATATTTGAAGTTGTCCGTACAACCATGGAGCTTTTAGCTTTTAGCTCCATGGTGCAACCAACCTTCTAACCGCCATTTCCAACTTTCGTCTTCCTCCCCAAAGCAGTTGCTATTAAATATTGTATTGTATCTATAGCAACTTCATGATCAAAAGCTGTTGGTTATTAGAAGTTAGATTAGCCCAGAATTAGCATTGAAATTAGCGAAGATTTCACCCGTGTAAACGATGTCAGATTTTGTCTGATTGTTCCAAAATTAACATTTAAAAAAATATATTCAACATTTCGGGCTAAAACCTGTTATGTGTGGTTACCCCTAAAATAATACTAAAATTGTAAACAAAACTCAATATTGGTAAAATCAAAACTAAGAATGATTTGTTATTGTTAGTTTAACCTAGTTATTTTAGTAAATAACTATAATAATGATTAGTGAGGGTAGTATTTCATTGCCAGCCGCTACTGCTGTACTTCCTGACTTTCCCGTGTACTGACTGCAAACGACAGTGCAACTTGCCACAGAATGTGACGTCTCAGTTTCCAGTGACAGTGCAAAGGTCATAGCGACGTGATTGGTAACTCTTATCTGCACTAATAATCGATGGTTTTAATAAGTTGATATCTCGCTATGTAAATCAAAACAAGCACTTTGAGTCGCTCTGATGATTTGCCGCCTTCTCTCCCGTAAATGCTTTGTACCACGCCCACCTGCACACATGGCCACATCAATATACCACCCGAGTACTTGTTGAGTGTTTTGTTTGCCTTCCCATGGTTCAATATAATAACTACAGGTATATTTCACTGGCCGCATGCTCCACTTCAAACATTACACGCAGTGGCATTTCGTTAATTAACTATTTTGAATTTTTTTATATAATTAATAATAAATGTATTTTTTTCTTCACTCTTAGAGGTGCAAAGACAGATTGAATTCACTTGCGATATCAGTGATGAACCAGTGGCCTGGAGTCAAACTTCGTGTTACCGAGGGCTGGGACGAGGATGGACACCACGCGCCCAACTCTTTACATTACGAAGGACGCGCCGTGGATATAACGACCAATGACAGGGATCGTACCAAATATGGCATGCTTGCGAGGTTAGCCGTGGAGGCAGGTTTTGACTGGGTGTTTTACCAGTCTCGCGCGCATGTGCACTGTTCTGTTAAAGCAGGTGAGTCAAAGCGTCCCTTAGCTATTCTAGTTAGTCACGGTGATTTGTAGGTCACGCGTGATTGGCTAGTTCCAGTGATAAAAACTCATCACGTCTGTATATACTAAACGGAGAAAAATTACTTTGATGTTTTCAAATGATGACAACTACAATTTATCACTGACTAATGCTTTTATCATGTGACTTAGCAAATCACTGAATCAGTCAATCATGACTGTTTCAATCACGTGCTTGTTGCGCATTGCGTCATGTCATTGCGGCATATAGACGGTGTTGCGCATTGCGTCACGTCACTACACACGTCATTGCGTCATGTTTCGATGTGCGTCACGTCGCTCTACACGTGATTGCGTCAAATAGACGTTGTTGCGCATTGCGTTACGTCACTATACACGTCATTGCGTCATGTTTCGATGTACGTCACGTCGCTCTACACGTGATTGCGTCATATAGACGTTGTTGCGCATTGTGTCACGTCGCTCTACACGTATTTGCGCCACATAGACAATGTATTTTATACGCGTTGAATACGTCACTATGAGTCCCATATCCAACAGAACACGGTGCGATGACCACCGCCCTTTAATATTAATGAAACGTTTATGGGGCAATGCATAGTTAAACGGATTTTTCAGTTTCCAAAACAGACTGCTGTATAAAAGGGTCAATTGGTTAAAGGTCAATCAAGTTTATCCACTCTTTCTTAACACCGACTGGAAGTTTATCGTTTCCTCACTTGTGTTGACAGTGGTGTGGTCACGTGTGGTCTCCAAATTATTAATAGTGAAATATACTTTTTTATCCATTTATTCCTCAACTTATTTGTTTTTCATTTTATAAAAATATTCAATGTTTATTCTTTTTTTTTTCACTGGGATTCTAAAATAACCACTTGTTGTTTTCATAAACTTTCTTCACATGAAATGAACTCAATGGAAAACACATCATACTTAGGGGATCTGATTTTGATATTTCACCCAGTAAGACCACCTAACTTTCATTACATTTGCATCAATACTTGTTGGCGTGGTAGAGGAACCGCATTTTTTCTGTAAATGGGGTACGAACCGCGGTCACTGTGGTCACTGGAGCAAAATGGTTGCACGTCATCAACCGAACAAACATACCCAGAAACCGTGACGATGACCTACCCATAAAGCACCGGGAGAATAAACACCTGCCATGCCAGTACATGCCCACTGTTTTTGTGAAAACAGAAAACTGGTTCGAACCACTTCACCGATTCATTTGGAGTAGACCAGTGTGTTTATTTTCTGGAGGGGGAGGGGCTAGGTTAGAATAAGAAAAATCAGAGAACTCGTTTTCGCGATAGTGTAGACACTACAGTTACACACAAGTCTGCACGCGAAACCAACATGACTTGATCATCAGGAAACAAACATACTGATCAATCCATAGATTAACCTAACCCCTTCCCAATGAAAATAATGGCCAACCCTTAATTTGGTATAAGGACCAATATACGATTCGCGCAGTACATTGTCTGGTGTTTTGGCACAATTTAGTAGGAACGATCGAAATGTGCGAGTCGATATTCATACTCTTAATATCCTGAGCAGGAACGTGATGCCCACACTGTCAATTCGTTTTCTTGAAGCATCGTCTTTTTTATTGCGGAAACTCTAAGAGTATTGGATTTTTCAGTGATTGGTGAGAAACACGTGTAACTGTGTTTATTGTTTAATTTGCTGTTTGCTTTAGATGGATCATTTGATTTAATAGGATGTGGAAGAGAATTGATGAAATAACCAGAACACAAATCAAACCATTATCGGACAGTAAGCAAATAACACCGAATAAACGGCAAGGTAAAGACTATGTCTAATTATAGTAAATACGTACTGCGTGCGTGACTCGAACCGGCGCTCGCGTACGGCACCTAATCGCC